ACCGGTGCGGTGGCTGGCAGTGCCACCTCCAGCCTGCGGGAGCTGACGGCGGCCAGCAGGAGCGCGCCTTTGGCAAAGGTGGGTGTCTGCCCTGCGGCGAGCCAGGAAGGTTTTGTGTGTGTGTGTGTGTACACGTGGTTTGGTTAAGGGACAGTAGTGAGGGGCAAGGGACCACTAGACCACTGCCACTGCGATCTCCAATTTCCTTTGCTTCTAGGGGCTCTCTCTGGGTCTCTCTCTTTAAGGCCCACTCCACAAGTACTGCACATTACGACCCCGGACCCTGGACTCCCATACTGACACTATTGAACTTCTTGTTCTCCGCACCAGCCTGTCATCCTCCCCCTCTGGAATTCTTTGTCCTGCCTACCACCTGCGCTCTTTGTAGCTGTGACTGGTCCCAGTGCACCTGTCCAACGCCCTCAGATCCGGGGACCAATTACTCATTGTCCTGAGGGGCAAGCGCTCTACCTGTCCTACTGCTCCTAAAACCCAGGTTTTTAAAGTCCCCCTTCTTTCCCACGCTTTCAGAAAGGGCCTTCCTCTATTGCCCAGTGGTGCCCTATGAACACACCCCCTGAGCTTGGTTCCCTGGCTGCCTGTTAGTTCTGACTGCTTCTGGCATCTGACAGGGAACATCTGGGCCTCCTGTGTGCCTGCCTGCGAGAAGCAGGAAGAGAAGCAGAGTGTGTGTTTGTGTGTGTGTTAGGAAACTCCTTCCTAGTGGGAGGGAAGGAGTTAACCCAGAGACCCTCCCAAGGAGAGTTTTTGGCCCTGTCCTTCTCTCAGACTTGGCAGCATCTGTTGGGAAGCATGGGTTCTCGCCTTGGTTCTTTGAGGGGCCAGAGTTGCATTCCCACGTGGGTAGTTAGTTTGGGCTTTTCCTTTTGTGCAACCACATTGTACAAGATCACTGCTTCTGTTTTAGTCAAAAGACTCTTGAGGGCTTCAGTGATTTGCTTTCAAAAGCTTCTTAGAACTTGCCATTACACACCCTTAGCTGCCTTGGGGACTATGGGAAGGAGGAGGGATTTGGTACAGGGAATACTGGCTTGCAGGAGAACCAAGGTCCCTCATTTTGTATTTTCTGTAGATGCAGAAAAACCCACGCTATAACAGTTAAAGCATATGTCGCCAGTGACCAGGGATGCTCACAGAAGTTAGAAAAACAGTTGTCCATTTTAAGGGTGGATGGCACATAAGGCAATTTGACAATCCTTCTACTATGTATCGTTTTGAAATGTCGGGAAGATTCCAGCATCTGAATATCTCAGAAATGTAACATATCTAAGATTAGGAACGGAAGCTCTGGGGTGTTTAGCTTCTGCGTTACAAATCACACTTTGCCAATTTCTGTTTTCCTACGGATCCAGAGGCATCCACAGAGGGCCCAGTCAGGGACTAGTTCGTCTTGAGATCACTCCTGAAGGAGAATGCATGGCTCTGTTTTAACTGTGACAGAATGCATACACTTCTAGGTCTTTGTCACGGCTTTTCCTTCCTCTCCTGGCTGTTTCTATCTAAGGTATTATTATCTGCAAACGCAACCTCCTCTTGCTCTGAGGAGTACATGATTTTGGAACTAAGCTGAACTTGGGTTTACAGATGTCATCCAGGGTCAATTTAGGCGAATGCATTGTGTCTGTCCAGGAGATTAGATAGTAACTCCTGCAGTGTGGAAGGTCCCAGCCTTGAGGCAGATCCTGGAATTTTGTGTCATTTGTAGCATTCTTTAGGACTTGCCAAAGGTGTTGAAGCTTGTCACTATTGGCGATGAGACTTAGCCACAGGAAACTAGTTTTGTTGATGGCCAGATTTGGGGTAGGGTGACTTTCTTTATGGACTCATGCAGTTAATGGACTCTGTTCACAATTATCTGTGTAGAAGGGAACTTTTAGAACACACTTTCTTTTTTATTTTCTTCTTGCTTTCCTTTCTCCCTCGCATTCTTTCTCTCTTTCTGCCTTACTGAAGTGTAAACCTTGGTTCTTTCTATAGAACCGCCTTTAAGAGAATAGATGCGGTTCTAGAAAGAGTGAATTAAACCCGATCTTCTCTATGCTTATTTGCAGAGGATGAGCAGGTTGAGGTAGAATTAAACATCCACAGGCTTTTGACAGGAGCCTTCATGGTATAGTGATGATGCATCAGGTTGCTCACCATAAGGTTAACAGTTCAAAACCACCGGTTCCTCCGAGGGAGAAAGACCAGATATGTTACTCCGGTAAAGTTGCAGTCTCCAGTCTCAGACACTCACAGTGGGCAGTTCTACTGTGTCCCACAGGATCACTGGGAATCAGCATCAATCGGATGGCAGTGAGTTCGAGCTTTAAGCATCAGTGGAAGTCTTCTTGGTCAATCAGTTCTTGCATGTCATGTTGGTCCTCCCACTCTGGGACAGTCGCAGTTATGCTCCTCAGATATCCGTATTTTATGGGGTGTTGCGGGGGTGAGGGGTTGGAGCAGTCGAGGGAGAAGGTGCCCTGGGGCATTGTGGGTATGCACTGAGCTTCCATCCGTAAGGTCTACAGTTTGAAACCACCAATTGCTCCTTGGGAGAAAGATGGTGTTTTCTACTCCCATAAACAGTTTCAATCTTAAACTCACAGGGGCACCGTGTCCTATAGGGTTGCTATAAGCCAGCATTGACTGTATAGTAGTGAGGGTGGAGTGAAGGGGTTGTAAGAAAATATTGCTTTTTCAGCTGAAAAGTGTTTCCAAGTCAGCTTGCAGTACTGCCATGTCCATTGGAATTTCGTTGATGCTATAGCAACACCCAATGTTGTTGCACACCGTTGATTAGCTGGGCATTGTTTTCATTACTCTCCAAATAACCAGCTATGATATTTGAAGATAAGAGAGCATATGATTTCACATTCACCGAATATTAGGTAGTCTCCTATCTTCTCATGAGAAGCCCTTCAAACTCTCTCTTGGGCCAGTTTGAATGTGTAAACCTTTTAGGTATGTAGATAAAGAGACATTTTTAGATCATTTATCGTGTTAATTTAGTTAGACATTTGGAATGCATCTTGTATAAAATGTATTACTTTCTCTGTGTTTCGACTTGCCCTTTGTGAAACATTCTTTCCTGAGCTCTTCATTTGTATATTATTTTTTCATCAGGTTTTTGGATAGCCCCAGTCACTTGTAGTCACCCAACCTGGTTGGCAGAGCCTGTGCCCTTTACTTTCACCTGAGCCATTGGAGATAAGGCTGTGTTTTGTTTTTGTTTTGCAGTAGTTTAATGATGCTGCCTCTGGAAACTTTAGACTAAGCTATAGGTTCTCACTGGTCTTAGCTGTAGAACCGTTGCTCTTTTCCTTTTAACTGTTGGCAAATATTTGTCATTTTGTTCTGATTCTTAACGTGGCCTTCAAGAAGTCCTGTTTTAAAAGTAATATTGAATAGAAAGAAATTGTTTTGGAAATGTTGATGGCAACATATGTACAAGGGTGCTTAGTACTATTGAATGATGGATTGTTATAAGATTTGTAAGGGCGCCCAATAAAATGATCAATTGAAAAAAAGTATCATCGAACAATTACAGTTGTGAAGTCATACTTGAAGGATGCTAAACTCACTGCTATTGAGTTGATTCCGACTCACAGCGACCCCATAGGACAGGGTAGAACTGCCCCGGTGGTTTTCTAAGATTGTAACTCTTTAGGGGAGTAGAAAGCCTCATCTTTCAACCACAGAGCAGCTGGTGGTTTCAAACTGCTGACCTTGCAGTTAGCAGCCAAAGCATAACCCACTACACCAAGTGGGTACAAAATGCCCTAGCCTAACTTGTTGTTCTTGAAAGAGATTTACAAAGTAATCCCTAAAAGACTGCAAAGAAGCATTGCTTCAAAGCAGCAAGGTACCTTCTAATAGGTTCTGTGAGAAAAATTAAAGGTACTTTTTCATATGAGAGATTTACTAAGGATTCAAATATGAGACAATTTCTTTTTTCTTTCTGCTGAATTATTTTTAAAAATCTTTTGCCTTTTTGTTTTTGTGGTTTTCTCAAGACTGTAACATTTCCGAAGCAAGTTATCAGACCTTTTTTCTAAGGTGCTTCTGGGTGGGTTTGAACTGCCAGTCTTGGAATTCTTTTTTTTAAAATCATTTTATTAGGGCTCATACAACTCTTATCACAATCCGTACGTACATCAATTGTGTAAAGCACATTTGTACATTCATTGCCCTCATCATTCTCAAAACATTTGCTCTCCACTTAAGCCCCTGGCATCAGCTCCTCATTTTTCCCCTCCCTCCCCGTTCCTCCTTCCCTCATGAACCCTTGATAATTTATGAATTATTATTTTTGTCATATCTTGCCCTGTCCGACGTCTCCCTTCACCAATTTTTCTGTTTTCTGTCCCCTTGAGAAGAGGTCACATGTAGATCCTTGTAATCCATTCCCCCTTTCCAACCCACTCTCCCTCTACACTCCCAGTCTTGCCACTCACACCACTGGTCCTGAAGGGATCATCTGCCCTGGATTCCCTGTGTTTCCAGTTCCTATCTTTACCAGTGTACATCCTCTGGTCTAGCCAGACTTGCAAGGTAGAATTTGGATCATGATAGTGGGGGGGAGAGGGGAAGCATTTAGGAACTAGAGGAAAGTTGTATTTTTCATCGTTGCTACATCGCACCTTGACTGGCTCGTCTCCTCCCCAAGACCCCTCTGCAAGGGGATCTCCAATGGCCTACAAATGGGCTTTGGGTCTCCACTCTGCACGCCCCCCCCTTCACTATGATAAGATTTTTTTGTTCTGATGATGCCTTATATCTGATCCCTTTGACACCTCATGATCAGACAGGCTGGTGTGCTTCTTTCATGTGGGCTTTGTTGCTTCTGAGCTAGATGGCCGCTTGTTTACCTTCAAACCTTTAAGACCCCAGATGCTACACCTTCTGATAGTCTGATAGTAGTCCAGTGCCTCATCATTTGTGCCTCTTTGGACTCTGATATTTGAGCATGTCTAGTGTTTATTATGTTCCTGCCCAGCACCAGGGCCTGTTTTAAGTGAACTCTACAGACGTGATCTCTTACTTCACCTTATGGGAATGGAAGCCCTTCTGATCTC